AGAAACAGAACAGAAATTCCAGTGAGGACTTTGCTGCCACCTTTAACTAAAACTAACCTATAAGAACCAATCAATACTCAGGTTGTAATCTATGGTATTTTTCTGGAATTTTATTTTACATTTTTAATTAAAGGTTAATTGAAAGGTGGGGCTAGAATGTGGCTCAGTGGTAAGGAACTTGCCTAGCACATGCCAGGCCTTGGGTTCCATCTCCAGCACTGCTAGGAAGCTTGGGCAGGATTAATGAAAGGTGTAATGCTGCGTATGCCCGCAGGCCTTGGTTGTGTGGTATGGAATGGAACATAACACAGCGAAGAAACAGTTTAAGGCTGTGCAACTTCCAGAAGTGCTTGAAGAAGACTGTTTAAAGCTGTGACATGTAGTCAATAGCACCCCTGCTGCTGAGGCCCCTGTGCCACTTCTGTAAAGGGTGGGAATGTGAGGCTGTGGGATCTGTCAGTGTCTCAGCTCTGCCCTCTTGAAGCCCGAAAGCAGCCATAGATAGTATGTGAATGGATGAGCATGGCTGTTTTCCAACGAAGCTTCGTTTCTGAATATTGAAATTTGAATTTCATAGAATTATTATGTCATGAAATTGCATTTGTTTGAATGTTGGCCATAGAGGCTGGCAGCAGGCCCACAGCCTTGTGTTCTTTATGTAGAAGTGAAGCAGGAGGAAGGTGCTGAGCTGTCTCCCCATGGTCATCTGCCAAGGTGAAGAGGCAGGGAGCAGTGGCTCTGATCTCTTGTCGCAGGGTGATACCTGCTAGCCACATGTACAGGGATCCTGAACATCCGAAAATCCCTTTCATTAACCTGGGGCTTCACACAGTGTCTGGACTTGGATCTGTGTAGGTCAGGATCCTTCTCTGATCATGTTTGGGAGCTGTACTATTTTCCTGTTCCTATTGTGACAGATCACCACCAAGGTAGGGCTTGAAGCAGAAGGGGTTTTTTTTTGTTGTTGTTGTTGTTTGTTTGTTTTTTTATACTTTATTTTGTAGTTGTAAATGGACAGAATGCCTTTATTTGTTTGTTTTTATGTAGTGCTGAGGCTTGAACCCAGTGCCTCATGCATGCTAGGCAAGGCTCTGCCACTGAGCTACAGCCCTGGCCTGAAGCAACAGAGTTTTTATTGCATATCTCCGGGGCTTGCAGGTCCAAGAACAGTCTCACTGGCCTGAAGTCAGTGTCTGCAGGGCTACTTTTCTGGAGGCTCTAGGGAGAGTTTGTTTTCCTGCCTGCGGTGCTTCTAGAGCTGCTTGCTCTGCTGGGCACAGGGCTCCATTCTCTATCTGCAGAACAGCAGCGTAGCATCTGACAGTCTTTGTTTCTGACTGTGACCCTCCTGTATTACCCTCACAAGGCTATTACTATTAGTGGCCTGCTGAGATCTCTCAGATAATCTGTCTCGAAACTATGAATCTGATCATGTCTAAACAGTCTCTTGTGGTGTTTTCTGACACCAGCCAATTCTGATTCTCTACCACTGGGTTTTCCACAACTGAATTCTGTTGTGACACTGTCTGTTGGGAAGTCAGAGGTGTTGGATCCCACAACTTAAAAGGCTCAGGTACTCTCTCTTCAGGAGCCAGCTAGAAATGGAATGCCCAGGCTTCCAGGTTTCTGCATAACTGACTCACAATTGGGGTTCCTGTGACTCCCCTCAGGACTACAGAACTCCAGGAAGGTGTCACTCACTGTGGCTGGTTTATTACAAAGGTCACTTCAGGAACAGTGAGGGGAAGGTGTGTGGGGCAGGTAAACAGCCAGCGCCAGTTTCCCCACCTCTGTCCCTGATGCCTCTCCTGGCAGTTTGATGTGTTCGCCAACTTGGAAGCTTTCCAAACCTCATTGTTGAGGGATTTTTGTGAGGTTTCAGGACGCAGACATGATTAATTAAGCCATTGGCCATTAGTGTAGAGTCCATCTTGGTCGCTCTCCCTCGCTCTGAGGCCAGAAGTGGGCTGGAGTTTCTACCCCTTTATTACTTGGCTAGTTCTTTTCTCTAGCCACCATCCTGAAGCTCTCAACAACAGATGCTGCTGTCATTCAGCAAGTTCTAAGGGTTCTAGGAACTCTGTGCAAGGAACCCAAGACAAAGAACCAAGGCTGGGTCTCTATTACCACGTCTCTCACCATATGGTGATGTTCACAGGTCCTGGGTTTAGGATATGAGCATCTTGGGAGGATCATCCTTTTACCTGCTTTGGCCTTTTGGCCCTTGAACATTTACCTCTGTCATTCATATAGAATATATTTGTCCCATCTCAAGGTTCCCCAAATTTTTGACCTATTATAAGCAACAACTCATGTTCAGAATGTCCCTGCGTCTCAGCTGAAAAGTCCCAAATCTAGGCATCTAAATTGTGTAACTTATAAGACTTGAGTGTGTACTTTTCTGGGCAGATCCTCTTCATCTATGACCTGAAACTGGACACTGAGTATCTGCTTGCCAGGGCAGGCACGAGGTGACAGTTGAACAGGCACGGTGGCTGTCTGCACCGTGGGCTTTCTGTCATGCTCCCCAGGGCTTCCCTGCCTCTGCCCATTGCCAGATCCGAAAGTGTTGAGGGCCACAGCCGAGTTGGGATGATGCATGACATTTTTGCCAGAAGTAATGGTTGAGAGGTGATGCCAGCGAGCCATTAAATGATGACTTTTGAGTTCTTGCGGAGTTCCCGTTGAGTTCTGGTTGAGCTCTCGCGGAGATTCCTGAAGTGTTTGAGGTGGTTAGGGAAGTGCCTGAGGAGGGATTTCCGGTGTGTGGTTCCTGGAGGAACTGCGTGGCGTTTGGGAGAGTTCCCGGGGAGCGTGTGTGGAGTGTGCTGATGGAGTTCGGAAATAAAGTTTGTTCCTGCTTGAGTGGCTCGTGATTTGTGCCCAGCCAGACTGCAGCACCAAAGCACCTGGCACATTTTACAGATCTGTTACAGCAGCACCCTCTTCTGCTACCCATCTCTCTATGAGTTCCTTTTGCTGATGTGACAGATTTCCAGAAACTTAGTGCTTTCAAACACCATACCTTTCTTATTGGAAACTGAGAAGTTTAGAAGTGGTTCTGAAGGGCTGTGTTTCTTCTCTCTAAGGACAGCTGGCTTCCTTGCCTGCCTAGCTCCTAGAGGCTACTGCACATAACCCCATGTGTTCCTCTTGTAAGAATCCCTGTGTTTGCTGGGCCTCCATATAATCCAGGACAATTTTCTCATTTTAAGATTCTTAATTTGGGGGCTGGGGATGTGGCTCAAGTGGTAGCGCACTCGCCTGGCATGCGTGCGGCCCGGGTTCGATCCTCAGCATCACATACAAACAAAGATGTTGTGTCCACCGAGAGCTAAAAAATATTAAAAAATTCTCTCTCTCTCTCTCTCTCTCTTTAAAAAAAAAAAAGATTCTTAATTTGGTCTTGTTTGTAAAGTTCCCTTTGCCATGTAAGACAGCATATTCATGGACTTGGTGGGCTATGGGTGCTGTTGCCCTGCACACAATGGGAAGTGTTAGTTGGTAGTTTTAGCAATATGTATCAGGTCATCATTTGAAATGCAGTTTTAGGAAAGCGTATATGTCTAACTTTGTCTTTTCAAAATCCGATACAGAAACCTGGATACGATTGGTGTGGCTGTTGATTTGGTTCTTCTGTTCCGTGAACTACGAGTGGAACCGGACTCCCTCTTGACAGGTAAACCACAGTATAATTCACGGATTATTTATATCTTGGAAAAGGATTTAAACCAAGACTCTTGAGTAGTGCATCATTCATTGAAGCACATGTTGTGTATTTTGAGAGACAGGGAAACAATGAATTATTAAAGAGTTAGCATAAATGAAAGTTTCAGTGACTCCCTTCCTCCCTGATGTGGGCTGAACCATCTCTCCCTGTTGATGCTGAAATCTCTTAATCTGTTCAGGCAGCTGTAGTAAAGTCCTTAGCCTGGACTAACTAACAAACTATAGAAGTTTAGCAATCACAGTTCTGGGGACCAGCACATTTGGTGTCATGAGGGCTGCCTTCTGCCTCCAGATGGTGCTGTCTTGCAGCATCTTCACATGATGGAAGGACAAAAGGGCACATGGGCTTCTTCTGACCCTGACCAGACACCTGCCCAGGCCCCAGCCTCTTATCAGCAACATATGGGGATTTGAGTTAAACGCAGACATTTTTGAAGGACACAAAGTAAGTGAGGACATTTGACTCATAAGAGAGGGTGTTAGGACACATACACACACAGAGGCAAGAGCACATGGGGACACAGGGGGAGAGGGTCATCTAGTGCTAGGAGAGGTCTCAGGAGTCAGCCTTGCTGCGACCTTCCCTTTGGAAAACTTTTTTAGTTTTTTTTAGGTGGACACAATATCTTTATTTTATTTTTATGTGGTGCTGAGGATCGAACCCAGTGCCTCACGCATGCCAGGCGAGTGCGCTACCACTTGAGCCACATCCTCAGCCCCTGCACTGTTTTTTTGATATTTATGAATATGATAGGTCCTCTTCTAGGTTTTGGGTGTGATTCCAACAGTGACCAAAACAGACAAAAATCTTTGCCCTAGGGCTCACATTCCAGTGGGAGCCAGATATAAAATCTGTTAATTAAGCCAAATACGTGGTGTGACAGAAAGGGAAGCTGGCTGTAGTCCTTAAGGGCTTTGACAAGGGATTAAGAGCAGCCAGCTGCTTAGCTGGAAGGCTAAGAGGTTCTCAGGCTGTTTTGAGTGGTTTTGGTCTGCGTATTCCTAGCATCAATACTTCTCCTTTGAACAAGAGTTATTATCTCGACGAAATATTAAAAGCCTCTAGACTTTCAAATACAGTCTTGTCTAAGGAATTGAGATACTATATGGGCAAAGGATTCTCAAGAAATTGATAGGATGTCCCATTGAGTCATAAGTTGTTTTTAAGTTGTTCTACATTTAAATGTGTTTTTGTGGCTCCATTTTATACTAAAATGGAAGTGTCAGTACTTAATTGGGGGATTAGAAATCTACAGTGAAGCCCATGTTGTGTCTATTCAGTAGGAAGCTCAGGGTGTGCACTGCGCTGTGTTCCCTGACAGCTGGCAGGTCCTGAGGTGGTGGGCAAAATGCCTCTGGCAGAGCAGAGGTGCTGTGGGTTTTCTTTTAGTGATGTGTTCCTGATAGAGCAGCAGGGCCTGAGGCCACCCAGATGCTGTGGGTAGCCAGCTCCTGGGGCCCAGCCCCGACCCTGGGTCCTGGGCTCTAGCCCACTCAGGAGCAGCTCCCCTGGGAGTAACCCCTGGCTCCTGGCCTCACTCCCACCCTGGCACCCGTGCTGTGCCCTCTCACCAGCAGGGCCTGTGCGGGCTCCTGCTTTCTTCTTACATAACCTTCCTTGACTCCACCTTCCCCTCGCCCCTCATTCTCACTTTTTCTGTGTTATCCGAAATTCCTATGAAAGGTTATGTAGTTTTTATCATACTTGATGACTGGTTCTTTCTCTCTTTATTCATAGTACTGCTTTCCCTGAAGCAAGTAGGTTTCCTAAGAACACATGCCTAAGCCTGCTTTTGAGATCCAGTTTGTTGTGGAGGAATTAATTGCTTGGCTGGTAATGAAAGAGTAGATCCTTACAGACCCGTTTTCTGTTAGCTATTTCAAGATCTGTTCACAATTTCAATGGATAGTTGCAGTCTTATTAGTATAATTGTTTTTTATTAGTGTGAGGCTCATATAACAAAATGCTCTCTTAGTGGGAGCAGTGCTGTGGCATTTAGGGTGTTCACAGCATCGTGCATCTCCACCTCTGCTCAGAGCAGCCTGTTTCCAGGAAGCGCTTCCTCTGGATTTCCCTCCTGTCACCCTTACATTCTGCTTCCTCTATGGACTCAGCCCATTCTGGATTTTTTTCTTGCAGTACTGGGATTGAACTCAGAATTGCAGATTGAACTGAAGAACTGGGATTGGATGTGCTCTATCTCTGAGCTACATCCCCTGTCCTTTTACTTTTTATTTTGAGGTAGGGTCCCACTGAGTTGCCTTGGCTGGCCCTGAACTTGGGATTCTCCTGCCCCAGCTTCTGGCATAGCTGGGACTGTAGGCATGTGTCATTGCCGCCAGCATTCTGGATGTGTTATATAAGTGGAACGAGAATTAGGTGGCCTTTTGTGTCTGGCTCCTTTTCCTTATCATGATGTTTTTGGGGTTCATCCATGCTGTTTCTGTTCTGGCTGAATGCCATTCTGTTGTGTGATTATGTCACATTTTGTTTATCCACTAGTCGGTTGATAGACATTTGGCTGGTGTGGATAATGCTCTTGAGTGTACGTGGATTGATTTGAGGGCCTGAATTCCATTCCTCTGGGTCTGTACCTAAGACTGGAGTTTCTGGGTCATGCGGTCACTCTATGCTTAACATTTGGAGGCCCCGCTGAATTTTTCCACAGCTGGTAGGCTGCTGTGCTTTCACCAGTAGGTCTGAGTGTCCAGTTTTTGCACACCTGTGCTGGGTACTTTCTTTTTTTGGATTATAATCATCCTGATGGGTGTGAAGTAATGGCCCTTCATCGTGATTTTTATTGCCCAAATGACCAGTGACGCTGAACATATTCTCAAGTGCTTATTGACCATTTATGAATCGTCTTTGGAAAAACGTCTGTTTGTCCTTTGCTTGCTTTTTTTTTTTTTTTTTTTAAATATGTTTTTTAGCTGTAGCTGGCCACTGGCCACAATACCTTTATTTCACTTATTTATTTTTATGTGGTGCTGAGGATTGTCTCGCACATGTGAGGCGAGCACTCTACCAGTGAGCCACAACCCCAGTCCCCTTTGCCTACTTTTTAATTGCACTGCTGTTTTACTGTTGAGTTGTAAGAGTTATTTACATGTCATGGAGACCAGGAATTGCTGACTCTGTAGATCCATTTGTGGAGATTTGCCATCTCAACAATACTGTGTCTTCTAGTCCGTGAGGGTGGAACATTTTCCATTTATTTAATTGTTTAATTTTTCATGTGTATCAGTTTTAAATAGCTGACTCGTGTTCAGTGGCAGATTTGGAGAGAGATTACAAGGCAAGAGAGAAAATGAAAACTAAATAAAATTTCTGGTCACCTTCTTGGAAAAGCCGTGAAATCACCGATTTTTGTTTGGAATTCAACAGTGAAATTTGGATTCAGTAGGAAACTGAATTTTTTGTAGTGTGCTAGTTCAAATCTAAAAGGATCTTGTTAAAAGAATTCTGGTTTCTATAAAGTACCTGTACTATCTTTTGATTCTTTCTCTGTGAGAACTTCATTTTAGGGAGATTTTTAGCAGGGTAAATGTGCCAGTTTTTTGTTACCACTCTTGAGGTAAGAACTGTAATTATATTGTCAAAATAATATTTAGAGTATTATTTTCAAGCAGTAATTACAGTGATGTGACAAATATATTATGCTCATAAAATTTTATGTAAACACAAGCATGAGTTATTTTAATTGAGTTACTGATGTTATTTTTGGCTTTTATTCTTTTCTAATCTGTAAAAATAATGTTGGAACTTTGTAATAATTGCAGTATTTTTACATAAAGATCAGTTGATAAGGTATTTGGTAAAAGCATCCTTGTCTGGAGTTTTCTTTCCTTGTGTCTAGGATATCTTTAAGCCTTTTCCCATCCAGAACTGGATTCTGATGTGGAGACCAATTTTATTTGCCTGGTGAACCATTGGGTCAGCTGGCTTTGAGACTAGCTTGTGCTTTTGGCCTTTTTTGCATGGTAAACTTCTGTATTTGTATAACATTCAGTAGAGGGGCCAGGGAGGCCGCTCCATGGTAGAGCTTGCCTGGCATGTGTGAGGCCCGGGGTTCATCCCCAGTACCGCAAGAAAATAAAAAATGAAAAAGATTCAGTAGAAATGCAGGTCATGTCTTCTAAGATTATGACTTCCCTGAAAAAGACTAGTGTTTTCTGTTATAAACATTTCATATATGTTCAGTGCAGAGCATTATCTTCACTGTTGTTATTTTTCAGTACTGGGAGTTGAGCCAAGGGTTTTGTGCATTTTAGGCCAGCAGTGTACTTCTGGGCTACATCCCCAGCCCTATTACAGGTTAATTTTTAAGAACTCAGAAGGTGGAGAGAAGAAAACTAATCATCACTCATGTGCAGACCGTGAGAAGCTAGCTCTTGGGTTTCTGTGTGTGTGTGTGTGTGTGTGTGTGTGTGTGTGTGTGGCGCGCGCGCGCCCATGTGTGTGCGTGTGCTTGCAGTCTTGTGCCAGCTTCTTGACTTCACACTATAATACCCACCTAATTCAGTTTTGGGGTTATTGGTGCATTGTTTTCTGTGTGTACTTTTTAACCTTCCGTGGTCTGGTTTTTGGCCTGGATTCTGCAGCCCTGTGAGCAGCCAGCTGTGGAGTTGCAGTAAGGGCACAGTGTGGCACCTCTGCCCTGAAGTCCTCAGGGATTACTTGACCTGAAGCCAGCCATGGTGGGAAGTGGTGGGCAGGACTTGCCTTGGGCTGGATCAGCAGGCCAGCCCTGTCCTCAGCAGGGCTGAAATGTTTTCCTGCTGGGAATTCCTTTAGTCAGTCAACTCTTCATGTGCACTTGAGCTCTCCTGTTGCTGCTCGTCTTCCCTGACAGCTGGACTCCTGCCCTGACTTGGGGAGGAGACCGATTGCTGCTGTTTTTGCCAATCCCATTCTGCTACTCACCAGCTTGATGACCTTGCGCTGGTCAC